TGCTACTACAGCTGGCCTACATCAGAACTCCTTTTTGTTATACCTGCTATTAAATATTTTGCATTGTTGAGCTCAAGGAGTTGTAGATTACATTTAAAATAAATAAACGCTTGATACGAAAGATATTCATGTATGAAACTGCACTGATATAAGAAACCATTCAGCTTTCAATTTTACGGCCCATACAATTGCTATTTAAATAAGTTTGATTGCTACTATTACTAAATATTTTCTTAAACGATCCCTTATATTTAATAAGGGATAAAAATACTCGAAATAAATTCAGTCACTGAATTTCAAATCACGAATTCCCTAGTCAATGATGTTTTGGTTTAAATTTGGTTTGACAGTTTGCGTGAACTCAATTCTATTTAAAATCTTTTCTATATCGTTTATTCTTATTATCTTACTACTAAGTATTAATTTATCGATTATAATAATAATATTATGAGAGCATATTTACATATTATATAAAATTTAATTATACCAAAAAGAAATAAATTTGAGTTTACACTGCTTTAATTAATATTATTTAAATTAAATTTTTTTTTTTAATTTATACAATAAAACAAAAGATATGTTGTAGTATTATTATAGCGACATGTTAGTTATACTTTTATATAATTTAGGTAATATGGTAACAAAATATTAATTTAATTAACACTCTAATAATACTGTTTTAATTTATGTTAATTAATATGCTAAACATTCATGAGATATTCTTTTAAAGAAATTATAATTACAAATCTAAATAAAAACCATTCTTTTAACAACTCTTAACACACAAAAGAAAAAAAAAATTAATTAAAATTACACAAATCTACACTATTAAATTATTAAAAATTTAAAAGTGTACTTCAAGTACATTTAAAATTTTATAAAAACGTTTTATAAAATAGTTGTACCTTACCTATATGGTATCAAGAATACTCAGTACAAGTTGTCAAATAGGTTTAGGGTGTAGGAATATAATTCCATCGAAATTTGTATAAAAATTATATAAATTGTAAGTCAAATCGTTAGAATTCGGTATTGATGCACTATTCTCTTTTAGTATATGTACACATATACGTACAATATACATATAAAACTATAGCAAAGAACATTGACAATTTGAAAATACAATATGTTTTTTCGATATTTTAAAGTAGTATTACAGCTTGGAGATAATCTTCGGTATAAATTGATAGAAATATAGTAGAGAACAGTAATGAGAGTGACATTAGAGGAGAGAATGTCGCAGGAATAATGATAGAGATTGTACAAAAATTTACTCTGATAGCTTTATTATGTCTATTGTATTACAAGGAAAGACTAAATTTAAATATCTAAAAGACAAACCAGAACTTTCAGCGAAAATAATATTAAGGAAAATCAATTGAATTACAAAAAATGTGTACATCGGTCCTTTGTTTATTGCCATTTTTAAACAATTCTATAAATCTTCCACGCGCAAAATAACTCATTTTTGTCATTGCATTTTTGAAATCAAATCTAAACTTTAAAATTAAGTTGCTTGAAATAAGGCTTTCAATTGAATACTATTTCTTAAATTAACCTTTTTTTTCATATCTCTAAAAATTGCATACTTTTAGGATGCAATTTTTAAAATATTTTATTAATTTTTTCTTATTAAAAAAATCATTTGTCAGGAACAGTTTGCGACTGTATAAATCATAATTTTACTTCCATTTTTAAGAAAAAATTTAGATTGTGAGGGCCCCGAAACGAATATAAAATCTACTTTCTCGTATACACTTTGTAGAAATACACTCTCTAATATTGCATATAAAATTTTTTTTCCTAAAATAACTTTAAATTATACTTATTTTCATTTTTATCATATTATCAAGTATATTAATGCAGTGTTATCATAACAAAAACAACAAAAAAAAGATAAGAATAACGAGAAACAAAAAAAAAGAAAAACTAGAGCGCAACTAAAAAAGAAGTCAACTGAATTAACTGCTTTACCCATTTCTACTTTAAATTGCTCCCAATAGACTTCAAAAATAATATTTTAAGGACATACGAAATGAAAAAGATTTCATAAAATATGGATTCATTATACATACTACTCACATACTTAAAATAATATTATAAGATATGAGAATATGTATTTAGATTTATATGAAATCTATACAATACACATACATACATAATAGTATTATTATTAATATAAGTAAAATGAAAAAAAATATGACAATAAAATTAGGAAAGAGTACCACTATAGAGCTTAAATGTATATTCATTTTGTACATATACATACTAGTGTAAATATTTCTATAACAGACTGCACATTGTATTGTACTTGTGTATGTCATAAAAATGTTATTATGGCTTATTATGGAACTGTTATTTTTAGTGTCTCTTTTTTTGCTTTTTTTTTTAGTTTTTGAACTACATACATATTAATATGAAATGCACTATAGGAAGTAAAATGTGCCTTAGATATTTGCATTATGTGCACATGAAACTAATAAAAAGAAACAAAAAATTATAGTTGACTTTAATTCTATAGGTGCCTACATAGCACGATATTATGAAAAAAAGTTTAATACAAAATACAAAAATACAGGATGTTTATAGCAAACGAAGAAGCATCATAATTATTTCTATGAAAGTTTCTGAACATTTAAAGAAAACAATACTTAAATGTTATCAAATTTCAATTTACCTGTTTCGAAAAACTGTATTGCACTCCAATTTATTACAATTTATAAGAATTTCTTCTACAACATGGTCTTACTGATGTAAAAAAATAGTGTGCCAAAAGATCTTTTGTATACGTTCTTGTAATCATAGGTATGTCATACTAATCATTTTAGTTTATCATCTAATTTTATATTATGTTATGGTTGTATTAGAAGAAGATGGGTTAACTTCTGATATATCTATCGGTCGGGGTTTATCAGGCAGCTTAGTTTATGTTATAAATTTTCCGGGTTGCATAATCGCGTTACATTGTACTGATCACGTGGTCGTACAAGATAAAGAGAAAGGGATGTGTGGAGACAAAAAAAGGAATTAGTAAACCTCTCTTGGAACCAAAAACCTTTGAAGGAATCAGTGCACTGGTAGGGGATTTAAGTTTCAAATCTATTCACAACTAATTTATTTTATTCTCTACTTATCACCTGATTTTCCGTTTTACATCCGTATGATCTTACTTTTAAAATTAATTTTCTGAATTATTCAAAAATTAAAAGACCCTATCAAAACGAATATCTATACTCATATTTTTATTTCCTTTACATGCATTATGTATAAATATTATGTATTTATGTATGTTTGTACATTTATGCAAAACTAAAATAAAAATCTAACTACAGACTTTTTGGAATACAAACTATTGTGTACAAATTTACATTAGATGAAAAATTTCAACCTAACATAAATATTTGGGTTAAGTGGAGTTGCATATTTGTTTTCCTTTTTCTATATTTTGTGAATTATAGTAGGTACTCGTAAACTATAATATGTGATTTTACGAAGAAATTTTGTTTTTGCAAATTTTATAATTTTTTATTACTTTTAATTTTATTTTATCCATGCATATGGGTGTGAGCATATCAATATAAGGATTTACTCGTATTGGAATATAGGAATTATATAACATATAGTTAGTAATAAAGTTGTGATTTTCGTATCTTGGAAATTTTTATCCCACAAAACAAAAAATTATGTTTGAAAACTTTTTTGTTTTTCTTTTTTTTTTTTGGGAAATTCTTTTCATACTTTTTCTCCCCTTTTCATTTACAAGGTTGAAAATATTTTATTATCCTTTTATTCAATCTCTTTTATGAATAAAATAAATAGAAAAAAATTTTTTTAGTGTTAAAATATATAAGTGTTTTGAGTATTAAGTTATAATTCGTAAAAATGAACTAAAATTTTTTATTTAAAAACAAAGAAATTTAATAACCTCCAATTTTCCCACGAAATATTTATAATGCATGCATTTATTTAATATGCGGGGTTTATGCCGAATAATTGAATAAGAATTCTGAAAAAACAACATATTTTTTTTTGTTTAGTACATAAAAGTTTTCACCTGTGCATGCAAGAATCCCATAAATGTTTAAATGTATATTTACATCAATTATCGGAAAAATTTTAAATTTTAAAGTAGCGTAAAGAAAAAATTTTTTTAAAAACATTAAATTTTATCACATTTTAACATTAGAATTTCAGAAAAATAAAGATTAACTTAAATAAAATGGGATAATAGTTCCTGTTCTTACAACACTGGGGTAGTGGTGATTTTCAAAAGAGACTGCAAACCAAATAATTTTACCGCACCTGCACATATTAATTTTAACAAACTTTTCTAAAACCGGGAATTTTACTTAATTTTTAAAAAATTTTTAAATTGGATTTAAGCTCTGAGATTTTCGGCACATTAAAATTTTGGAATCTATGGGCACAGTTTTTTTATTAATTTTTAAAGAGGATGAGGGTAAGGATATTATTGGTCAAATTGTTAAATGAAATATGTCTTATAAAATTGAGAGTATTTTCTTGTATTAAAAATCTCGTATCTGTGATATTTTATTAACAATAAATAAGATTAAACATAAAGTAAAATAAAATGTTAAATCCAAGACAATTCATGTATAGACTTTCACATTTATCTTAGTAAATAAATTACTTTATCATTTTGTCTCTTGAGCCAACGTAAAGGCAATTAAATTATCTAACAAAGTATATTAACAAAATTTCAAATTTTGAATATGTCAAGAGTCATTAAATGATGAAGATGAAATTTTTTTTTCTCCACAGAAAGGGGAACTTAACCTACTATTATTGCACTATAAATATTATTAACGTAACTTTTTATAGGCGTTCTAGGATATCTAAAAATCAGTTTAAAAATTTAAACTTTCTTAATTACCTGTACTAAATTTACTTAAATATATGCACATACATATAATATACAAACACATATCTACAAAATTTAAACATTTTAATGCATAATTAATACTCCTTTTTAATTTCAGAACCATCAACGGAAATTATTGGTGCGCCAGATTTATATATAGAAAGTGGGTCTACAATAAACCTTACGTGTGTTATAATGAATTCACCAGAACCACCTGCATATATATTCTGGAATCACAATGATGCGGTAAGTTTTCTAACAAAAATTAAATTAACAAAATCAATATCAATATTAAATATTTTGAAAATTTCGTCGAATATTTCATCGAACTTAACTCAGTTTTGAATGAAACTATCTGGACTACCTACATAAAATTCTCTATTCCAAATATTATCTCTCTACGGTGAAAAATTGTTAATTGCATATTTTATTATGCGATGTTTTTAATTGCTTTTAATGTACATTAATATTAACTTACTTGTACCCTAAACATTTTCCGCACGGAGATCAAAAATTACCTTAATGGAATTCAAAATGAATTTTGTAATAAACGTTCCTCTCAACTTATGTACCAAATTAAAAAATTAAACAAAAAATTTGTGAAAAAATTTTGAATATTTGAATACATTTCGAATTAAATCATGTTATACAAAAATATCAAAGAAATTCCACACAAACTGTTCTATTTTGATAGAAATTTGTTATGAAAAAATTAAGAAACCTACGTTTTCCGAAATTGCGACATTTTGATATTAGAATTAAAGCCTTTAAAAATTAAAATATTTATATGCAGGATCCCTTAATAAATCGAAACATGTATTTTACTCGGTTCCGAGCCAGATTCATGGAAAAAAGCTTTTTCTTGTCAGATTCCTTTGGTTTTACCTAGATACTGAAAGGGATATTATGATTTGAAATTATAAAGCATTAAAAATAAATTTTTCTTTATAAACAAATTTTTATAATCATTAAAATGTTCTATTTTCTAGATAATTAACTATGATTCACCAAGAGGTGGTGTTTCAGTTGTTACAATTAAAGGCGAAACAACAACATCATTTCTACTAATAAAAAATGCAAGGCCATCGGACTCCGGGCAATATCAATGTAACCCGTCCAATGCCAAAAGCAAAAGTGTAACTGTACATGTTCTTAATGGTAAGTTTTTAATATAATACTAATAACATTGTAGCATGTTAAATTATGAATTTTCAATATTGTAATTATAAATTTAGTGATTAATTAGTAAGAAATGATTCTACAAGTAAAAAAAATTTAAAAGGGTTAATCTTTTGACTCTACCGGGTTTTTGAAGCAGAAATATTATTTTTGTTTTTAAATAAAGTTTATAGCTGGAAATTGAAGTTTTCCTAGTACCAACATATTTTAAATTAACAAGGATTAATGTGAGATGCATCTTACAATTAAATTAAATTATGGATTAGGTGAAATTTAATAATTAAAATTATATAAAACGAAAAAACACATGCCAAAAATTAATTTAAATTCCAAAATCATTCCAAAATCATTATACGTACATAAAACACAAAAATAAACTACACAGAACTAATTAATTTTAAAAAAAGAAATAAAAAAAAAATAAAAACAACCAATGCTTGTGTTAGAGAGCAGTTATAAAGATTAAATTAAATAGGTGTTTCTCATTCTGTTTCCAGGGGAGTTCCCAGCAGCAATGCAGCGCGCGGGCCAAGCGCATCATCGGATGTCACCAAACCATTACCTATTAGTTTACCTATCAATATTATTATCTACATTAGTATTTATCAAATATCATCAACATTATTTTCCATCAAATCAAATTGTATCCTAACAATATTATTAAATATATTTATTAAATATATTTTTATTGAAATAATTATAATTAAATTTATAATTAATTTAATAAGATTAATAATATTTAATATAAAACAACAATATATAATATGTGAAAACTTATATAAAAATCAATTAAAAATTCAACATATTATTAATCATATATCAGAAAATATGACATGTATGAAAAATATTAATAAACTTAATATTAATAATAATAATTATTATGATTATAGTTATAATAATAATTATAATATTATTAATAACAATAATATTAATAAAAATAATAAATATTTTAATAATAATAATAATAAAAATAATAGTATTAATAATTGTAGTGCTAATAATATTACTAGATTTAAAAATAATGATAATTATATAATATATTATAATAAAGAAAATAATAAAAATCCTAAAATTATTGAAAATACAATTAATTATACTAATAAAAGAGAAAGTAATAATTTTGATAATGATATCAATTATCAATATGTTATAATAAAATCTTATAATAAATTAAATAATAAAATAAAATTAAATATGCTGAACATTCAAGAAGCTGATACTAATAATATAAAACGTAATATTTGTAATAATAATAATAATAATAATAATGATTATAAAAAATATAATAATTATGAAAATAGCAATAATATTAATAATAATGAAAAAAGTATAATAAATAAGTCAATTGATAATTATACTTATTATAAAACTACCATAACAACCACTACTAATATTAATATTAATAATAATTATTATCATAAAGACTATCATAGCTGTATTATTGATATTAAAATAAAAAATCTAAATTTAATACCATCTAAATTTTTTAATTTATTATTGTGTGATGACTATCATAAATGTTGGATGATGAATAATAAATTAAAAATTAATCGAAATTATGACGGTAATAATTTTAAATTTAATTACTATTACAAATCTAATATTAATATAATATTAATTTTAAATACAATTATTATTAATTATAATCTATTATTAATTATTCATAAATACATTTTTAAATATATTATAAATAATAATATTAAAAATATAAATAAATATAATAATTGGTTGAATTATAGAAAATTTCTAATAAAATTAGATTCAGATATTAGATAAAAAGAATTTCTTAATTAGTTTAAATTTAAATAATTAAAAAAATGAAAAAAGAAACCCAAAAAAAAATTAAAATTAAATAAATAATTTTAAAAATATTATTATAGTAATTAAAATAAGGAAAAAAAAATGAGCTAAAAAAGTTAAAAATTAAAAAGGTATATAAAATAAAAAAGACTAATTAAGAATATTATTAAAAATATTAATAAAAATTTTGTAAATAAATAAATATAGTTAAATTACAAATATTAGGTACATTATAATATTAGAAGAAGGTTATACAAGCGTTTAAAGAGAACCAAGAGGAAAGAAAAGAAAATTTTTTACAAAACTAAAAGAAATTATAAGGGTTATTAAGGTAGAATATGTGAAGAGAACGAAAAACATGAAAAGTTGAAAAATGAAAATCGAGAAAAACCAAAATAATATTGTAGTAAAATTATTATTAAAATAAATAAATGTTAAAAAAATAAAAGTATATAAAAAAAATGAATATTAACTTTATATTATACTTGTAAATTATTGTCCTTTATTTTATAGAATTATTTAAAATGTTGTATTGTAAGAACTAAAAAGAATTTTAAAATTATTATAAAAAGAAAAAATGTTAAAGGGAAAAATTTAATAAAATTTAAAAAAAAAAATTTTAATTTAATTTTTTTAAAAATCAATAAAAATAATATTAAAACAAAAAGATAAAAATAATAAAATAAATTAAATGAAAGACTAGATGAAATTTTTTCAATTTTGTATATAAAAAATTTATTATAAAATACTTTATTATTAACGTTAAAGTGTTGTAATTTAAAAAAAAATTTAAATTTCGTAATTTTTATTTTTTAGGTTTTTCAAATTTTTAATTTTGTATTAATTCATTGTTAAAAATTTTAAGTTATAATTTCCTCCAACCATCCAACTTTTCTTAGATTTCCGTAAATTTTTATATTATTGTAGTTTCAATGCAGAATCATAAAATAAATTTACCTATTTTTTTCAAAAAAAACGCCTATTTTTTCAAGGTACTAATTCTGTACTGTACTTCTGTAAGGTACTAATTCAAGGTACTGTACTTTTATTCTAATATTCGAGAAATAATTATGTGGATTTCTTACTACAATTTAAAAATAAATTGTTCATCTTTTGTTCAACTGTTCACAAATAAATGAGATAACGAAAATATTTTGATAATTTAAATTAGTTAATTTACATAACTCTGTCAAATTCGTATAGTTTGACATGTCTATACCCGAAATACTACAAAAAATTCTCTATCAAAAACTAAATAGGATCGCTTCCCTATAAAATGATTTATTTTTAAAATAGAAGTGTTGTAAACGTTTGAGCCAATCGGTTCAGAAATTTAAACATGAAAGCTGTTAAACTTAATTACAGTAAAATGGCATGTTTCTAATATCTATACATCTGTATAATTTAATTTTTCCCTGCCCAGCATGCCTTCTTTTCGACTTTTTTATAATTGAATATCTGAAACTGATAAGAGTAATTGCAATTGTAAAATTATAGTAATGAAATTGAACAATAATTGAATTAAAAGAACGAAAGAAAACAAAAAAATGATAAAGTTTTATTTTTTAAGCAAGTTGAAATTTTTTACAAATATTTTTGTCCTACTATATTATCCTGAAAAACCGCAATTCATTTTAAAAATAATTGAACTTCTATTTTAATTTATTCAATGAATTGGTGAAATTCAAAAAAAAAAATATTATTTTTTTTGTATAAAAACAGGAAAAAAAATAGGAAATTATAAAAAAAAAATAAACGTATGCACTATATTTGTTGAAAATAACAGCATAAACGAAAAGTATACATAGTTTATATACGTACATTAAATATTATAATATAGGAAATAAAAAAGAACCCAAATAAATGTAATTTTTCTAAAAATCTGAATTCCATTATTAAAATATCCTGTACTAGTATGGATAACTAGAATATTTATAAATAAAATGGTGTTTTTTAAATAAATGTAGGTATTTACTTGTTTTTTTTTTTTTGTTATTTTAAAATATTTCAATTAGGCAAATGCAAATTCTATTTTTAATTGTAAAAAAAACCTTTTATGTGCAAATGTTAAAGATTTGCTAACGAATTCCAAACTGTTTCAACAGAAAATTGATTTAGTAACCTAAATGTTCATATAATCGATTTTAATTTTTGGAATTCAACAAAATTTTTGAATTAATTTTAGAAAAATTATTCAGTTACTTGATTCTTAGAATATAATTATTAAACTATTATAATAATTATTCTTAAAGAATTTTTAATTTATTGAAATTGTGATATTTCATTTGATTACTTTGGTGATCGGAATATGCGTATTCTCGCTGTTGAAAATATGTAGCTCACCATTTGAGATCTTTTGGTTGCCGGTGGTACTTAGCATAGAATGATCAACATCTGTCATACTGTTTTGGTCTCTCGCTAAAACCAGAACTATTTCCTTGTATTTAGTTGTCGATTGACCAGCCATTCCATTTTTGATTCTATTAATTCAAGCAAAATATATCGTTCGCTATGCAGTTCCATTCATTTCAGTGATTGAGGTAGAATTACAACCTTTTTTTCAAAAAGGCTACTCCAAAAATTAAAAATAAATATTGTTCTATATTGATTTAAATTGGTTGAAAATCTTCTAATCAAATATGTGTCCCGATTAACTACAATATTTTCGTTATTATTTGCTCTATTCTTACATGAAATAATATTTCAGATGATTTCTGACGCAAAATTAAATAAATATTACAATTATGTAAAATTTAGAAAATAAGGGTTTTGTGATTTACTCCTTCAATACTTATAACTTTATTCGTATCGTGTATTTAATATTGCCTCATCCATCCAAATTTACAATTTCAGAGGTACTAGTGATACAAAATTTGAAGCATTATGTACAAGAATGTGTAGAAAAGAATGAAGCGTTCAAAACAAATGAACTGAAGATTGTTTCTCCTCACTGGTGCAATGTTTTTGTTCTTTTTAATCAAATCGTTAATTTACAGCCTCTTCAATTCAGCTAATTCCAGCAATGCAATCATTTTAAATATATTAAACGTAAAAGTTTATTGGCAATTCCTTGGTACAGAGCGAAGGATATGGTCCTTATTTCGCCTTTTACAAATGAATACTTCATATATACAAGCATTTATTTTAAAACACCCTATGGTACGTATAATAACAGTTTTGCATAAAATATAAACAAAAAAATTATATGTAATAAAATAATTAATAGCTACTGGTTTAAAATACAAATTCTAATCTAAAAAATATATTTTTTATTAAAAAACAAAAAAAAAACACAAAAAAAAAATACATAATTCATATTAAATAAAAAAAAAATGAAAATATTTTAAAAAGTAAAAATGAAAATTTAAAAATACTTTAAATGTTGAGGAAATAAAAAAAAGAAAGTGTAATATAAAAAAAAAAAACAAAAAAAAATAAAAAAAATGAAAATTATTTATAAAATAAAAAAAATATTAGATATTTAAATATTAAGAGAATAAATAAAAAAAAATTCAAACAGAGATGAAAAATTTACTAATAAAATATAAAAAAAAACAAAACCAAAAAAAAATGAAACACATATAGTTTATAAATAAAATGAAATTAATTAAAAAAGAAAATGGTAAATAAATGGTATTTAAGACTTAAAATAATTAAAAGGAAAATTAAAAAAAAAAAAATTCAATAATGTAAAACAATGAAAAATAATCGAACAAAAAACTAATTACTTACTTTCTCGCTTGTATCATATAAAATAAAACATTAAAATCTGAATATATATATATAAAATATATGTATAAATAAATATATATACAAAAACACAATATACATACACATATGTATATTATTAAATATGCATAGAAAGAGAATTAATGTATAAAATAAACATAGAAAAAAAAAAAATAAGGAAAAATGTTAAAAAATATTTGACGTTATTTTTATTACAAAGTTTAGAGAAAATTATTTAACAATTATCAAA